GGGGGGAGTGAATGTACAGCGCTCTCTTCCACCTTCAATACCACGACTGAGGTGTCCTTGAGCAAGGCACCGAACCCCCAACTGCTCCCCGGGCGCCGCAGCATAAATGGCTGCCCACTGCTCCGGGTGTGTGTTCACAGTGTGTGTGTGTTCACTGCTGTGTGTGTGCACGTAGGATGGGATAAATGCAGAGCACTAATTCCTAGTATGGGTCACCATACTTGGCCACATGTCACGTCACTTTCACTTTCACTTTCACTTAGAAGAGCCGGCTCTTACGGCTCCCAAATGGCTCTTTATTTAGTATCACTCTGACCCTTCTATTTTAGCCCAATTTAGCAATTCTGAATGGTTTGTGTGTTGGAAAAAAATACACAGATACTATTATTTAACATTTTAATAAAACTTTAATAATAACACTTTAGTCTTTAGTGCAGGTTGGCATTCAGAAATATCAGATGCCTCAGCTTGGATGTGCTGATGTGATTTCTCCTCTCTGTGATTATTTGTCCTGCTTTTGAGAAGACTCTCTCTGAGGGGACCGATGTTGCAACAAATTGCAGTGTCTTCCTACCTTAACCAACGCGCTTGCGTTTAAATCCGGATCCCCCACCTCTCTCTGTCGCACTGTGTACCTGGCCTGTACCACTACACTCGTTATCTTCGGAGCTTGTGTCCCCATTCCTCCACATAATGGTATGATCCTAGTCTGTCCTCCCATGTGATTAGCCTCATGTGTATTTAATTTTTTCTTGTAATGAAAAAATGCATAAAAATAAGACTTTTTTTTATAACACTAAATAAAAAATTGCTTAACAACACACAAACCATTCACAATTGCTAAATTGGCCTAAAATAGAAGGCTCCGGTTGAAGATTCGACTCGCCCCGACGGGAGTCGGCTCTTCTCGTTCGCTACAAAGAATTGGCTCTTAGAGCCGGCTCTTTCGCGAACGACACATCACTAGTCTGTGCCTTGGATGTTATTGTTTGCTGGTATCTGACCCTGCCTGTCCTGCCTATGCTCTTTTTATTAAAGCCTGCTATTGGATCCCCACTTCGTTGTCACAACGCCTCTATCGTTACAGTGACATTACATTATGCATACTTTAAAACCAAACAAATGACTCTCCAAAATAACTCTCTCTCAAGTTCTGTTGGGAAGTGTGATTCATTTATGGCAACCAGTTAATTCAGATGATTAATTTGAACTGATAAAAAAAAAAAAAGATACATTGGATTCCCTGTGTGACATTTTACAGCTTTATATTCAGTTAAATGTTGCCATTTCTATATTATGATTATTATAATGTATAACCTAATACAGCTGTATTTAGTTTAAATCTGTCAGTTTCAAAGTATTTCCCCAACACTGGTTTACACTACAGTATATTATATAAGGCATATGATATACGGTAAACCACTGCAAAATATAAGGCCAGGATATGGCATCATAACCCTCACGGTAAATGAACAGAGAAATAGGATGTCTTGAAGAAGCACTGAAGAGTGCAAACCACCAGCTCCTTTATTTCCCTTGACTCAGAACCAGCTCAATAGTGCAGGCACCTTAACCTGGTCTTCAGATTTGTGAGTCACCGAGGGTTAATTGTGGTGTTAGAACTGATTAGCTTCAGGGTTTTCTGACTGTAGCAGCTTAAAGGCATGCAGACCCAAAAACACGAACCTACCTGAGAGGGGATCTGCAGAACGGAAATCAATCCAAACAACAACATTTCAGTGTCAAATATCATTTTAAGTGCAAAAGTGAAAATGTCAACATGCAAACATAGTTAACTGCTGGATATCAGATTTCTGCTGTACATAAAACAATTGTCACTTTCTAAAGATCAGACATCTAGTTTTTCTATTTTATCATTCATCTTTTTGATTAATGTTAAAAGGGAAATATACAATCTGGAAGATTACACTGTTAAACCATATGCTAGCTCAAATGATTCTTCCTGCTGATCCTTAATAAAGTTTTACCCACAATTTCTACTTTAGTCTCTAAATCCTCTTCTTTTGTTTTATGTATTCAGGGAGCAGTTCATAACAATGGCCGTACGGTGGTCTCAGTTGCATCCCATGACGCAACGCTCAGCAAGCTCCCTCATTTTCAGCACATTAATGTGCGAAAGATGCTTCTTTACATGTCGACGGGATTCACTAAACTTAACAAAATTACCTTTAACTATACTTGGATTTATGAGGTTGTCTCTGACAGCAGACTGAAAAGTAGACACAAGAAAGAAAAACATGCATGCAGAAATAAAGAATAAAGAATGAAATACAATTTTATTTATAATAAAACTGAAATTCACTGAGCTTAACAATATTACCCCAACTATACATTGATAAATAGTAAACTAAACTAAAAAATAAAATAAAATAAAAAAATAAAATGTTCATGCAACATGGCTTGACATGACAGACATGATGACATTAAGTGCTCTGGGAATGAAGGATACCTCAAAGGTACATGAATGCTTTTCTGGTTTAGGCCAGGCAACTCTGCTGTCCTAAAGGATTGTCTGTGGCTTGTAGAGCTGCTGACATTTAAACAAGCTTTCCTCTGAGTCTTTAGATTATTCATGTAGATGCTACCATCTTGTGTGAGTGTGCATGTCCCGTCTGGCTGATATTGTGGTAGGGAGTGCAGGGTGAAGGTTCTAAAGATGGATCTTGGCAGCCACAGACTCCTTCCTCATTTAAAGGCCTCATAAACTTTTAATGTATTAAGGATGACACAGAGGCCAGTGTTGACTCAACTGATGAATACCCCAGTGAGCCAAGCTTTCGGCTGGTCAAATTACACACTCTCAATAGAAATAAAAGTATACTGTAACGTAATGAAAAATGAACAGCTTTACTCTATATTATATGTCATAAATAAATAATACAACAATAATTCATGTTCATGATAATATATTGTTAAGATAAACAGCAGTGTTTTGGGAATACAACATTTCTGCAAACTCACAAACTTATATACATAAATATATAACACTTTAATGAAATTGTATTCATTTATGTTAGACAGTCTCAGTTTCTTCTCTCCAGCATATCCCCAGAGAGACATACAATATTCTCTATACTGCTTTCATTTATTTAAGTACTTCTGTTTAATTCTTTTGTTAACTGTTCTTTTCCTCTTAAATGACTTCATTTCATATTGGCTCAATCAAGCATCATAAAAGACTGCCAGACCCATTTAGTTTCTCTTGAGTATCTTCTTTCTCAATCCTCATTTACACTAATGTGTTTTCTACTGAGTTGTGGCCGTGTTGAGTGATGTTGCGTTACAGCGTGAACATTTAAAACATCACTCATATCTCAATTTGGTATCACGGGGCCAGATTCCATCAGCCTGGGTTGGTTAAGGTTACTGTAATAAATACATATTATAGCTGGAGCGTGGCACAACTGTGAAACATCTGAAATCAGAGACTTTGGAGACTTTCATTTGAGTTCTTATTGTCTTATTTATGGGTTTCTTTTGGAAATCCCACCTGGCCTGGATGTCTTTGTTGAATATTTTACTCCAAAACCTAAATCGAGTGGAAAGCACATTAAGAGATGAAGTGAATTAGATTAAACATTGAATGAACCCACACCATGTCTTATCATTTCAAAACTAGCGTTTGCACTTGTGTGTCAGTTTATTGGATTGAAAGTGCCACCACTTGCTTTCAACAGTTTTAAAAATGTCGCTGATTGAAACGCTTTCCAGATGCCTTGTACATACACACACTCATCCGGGTAAAAGCAGAGTGTGATTAGGGTTGGGTATTGTTTTTGTTTTTTTTCTCGATACCGGTGCCAAATCGATACTTTTATAACGGTTCCGGTTCCTAAACGGTGCCTGAACCGATACTTATTAAAAAATAAATACATAAATAAATAAAAATTCCCCCCAAAAATGATGGGATTGGTCATTAGCACTATAAACACATGATGTCTGTTTCATTCATACTGGACGCCAGAGGGCGCCCTCGCACAGAAAATCCACATATCCAGTCACAGAAGTAGAGAAACTCATGACCCTCCAGGAAATCCCTTATATGGACAAAGGCATTGCTATTATATCTGTAACTGAGTAAACAGAACATATAAACGTTTTGAATGATAAAGCAAAGACAATAAACACTCGACTGTGACAATATAGTTTATCGGTGTTATTTAAACCATCTCTGGTATTTTCATAATAATTAAGTATATTTATAATAGGGTGACCATATGCCGAATCCCGGACATTTTGGGCAATTAAGAAATCCCGGCCGGACGCATTTTTGTAGGTTGTATTATTTTTAATGCAGCATATGGAACATATTTTCTGCCTCATTCTGTATTTTCACGTGCGGTGCCAGTGATGATGCTTCTTACGTCCGTTTCGGAGAACCAGAGGACAAATATTTCAATCGATCGCTCAGGCATATGGCACCGAAATGAGGCACCGAAATCTGCATTTGGATTCGGTTCTAGTACATACCGGTTACATAGGTACCGGTGCCATATTGGTACCGGGTTTCGGTACCCAACCCTAAGTGTGATAGTGACAAAATAAGGTGAAAGAGGTGCGTTACTCACGTTAATGTCCTCCAGCTCCAGCATGTTGAGAGCATGGTTGTTGCGTCTCCAGATGATTGGCGGCTGCTGGTCTCCTGTGATGGCACACGTGAGCACGGCGCCCTGACCCACCGTTACTGTGGTGATGCTCAGCTTCTGGTCTTCAGGAAGGCTGAGCTGATAGACCTCTGAGAAACAACAGAGAGAAAGAGTGGTTTCATATCAGCTTTCTTCCCAGTAAGTTTGTTCACCAGGCATCCACATCAGCTATTAACATCAATTTCTAGCTCACTTCTGTTCACAGAAAATTATTTGAGATTTCAACAGTGCACCAGCTACTTTGACTACATGTGATTTCTAGTGAGAACATCAAACTGTTCTTAGGTGCCACATTACTGGTGTGAATATCACTTCATGTGACACCTAGCACTTCATTTACAGCTCGTATCTGCTAAAAACATCTGTTTTGGTTCTGATTATCATGTTTATCGTGCTGAAATCATACGTTTTAAACACTGATCTATAATAGATCGGCTGTCAAAGCATGTGAGTACTAAACTAAGTTCTCAATCACACACAAGTTTACATTAAAAACACACGAGTTACAAAAAAAGTCGGTCTATGAAGGTAAACAGCTGGGAAATAAATCGCATGTTTATTTCAGATCAGTGTGGCAACAGCAATATACAGTAGGCCTAAATAAATCATTAAATCAACTGCCCTTTTGTCTGCTCTGAGGCTGGGACTCTAAATTGTGTTCTTTACTCATCTGTGCAGCCAAAGGCAGAACAGTTAGCATGTTTTGCTCAAACTTTCTCCAGAGCATTAGAGCTGGTACACTGTTGTCGCTTGCGAAATCAAAATGACGTCGCCATGGAGATCCCTTTGCAACGTCACTAGGGGAGCGAAATCAGACGCGCTCGTTTTTTCAGACGCTTGCAGAAAAAGGCTTACCAAAACAAAGTTACTGGGTTAATCTTTTTCACCTTTCCTTGGTTGGTAGATGCACCGGGGACCTGATTATAGCACTTAAAACCTGGAAAAGTCAGATTTTCATGATATGTCACCTTTAAAGCAATAAACTGTACTACAGACAGTTACAAACAAGTGTAGTGTAAATGGAGGTTTAAAAGACTGCTTCTTACTCTAGAAGCTAGGCTGGTTTAGTGCTAAGTTGCTAACATAGATGCATCAATATTTACAGTGTAAAAAGAATAAATACAAAGCTGCTCTTGTTATGGCCTGACCGAGAACCAAATATGAGATTATTACAGATCAAATCCAAACTGGCATCAAAAACGCGCACACACACACACACACACACACACACACACACGCACAGCAATAAGAGGCAATAAGTCATTTAATTAAGTTCCCCATCCCTTATAAATCTGATCTCTTTATTTTTTTGTGAGTTCTTTGGATTAAAAAAAAAAATTAATAGAACAGCATATCAAAGGTCACATTTTTTCACATTTACAGCTAACAGTCAGTAAATCCATTTTTTTATTTTATTTTTTTTACTAAGATCTCGAGTAAAGGCTAATTGCAAAAATAACCACATGTGAAAATGGGTCATACCCACTTTTAAAAGAGGCTTTTGCATGTTTTTTTTTTTTTTAATATGATGATTTATGTGTTACTATTAAAGGATAGCATATGTATTTAAAAATACCATAAATATAGTATATAAGTATTAGAGCTGTTAATTCGATATCACATGTACTACATAAGTTTTGCTTATGATTGTATACAGTACACTCAGTTAATTTTAGTTAACAATAACTTAAAACCTAAACTAAAATTATTAAAAAGTATATATGCGTAAATACATAAATGTACAAACAAACACACACCTGGAGCGGGACAAGGGTAACAAACAAACCCCTGACCCCCAAATCTATTAATGAGCCCCATCAATCAGTTGTGACGCTTCAATGAATCTGACGAGCCTCTAATACGGCTGAAGTTGCTGTACTGCCCAAGGCAAAAGCTGAGATGGCTGACTCATAGCTTCATAACACTCTTTATAATGATCGTGATAGGCTTTGTGCTGCTTTAAGCATGCTCAATGAATCTGACGAGCCTCTAATACGGCTGAAGTTGCTGTACTGCCCAAGGCAAAAGCTGAGATGGCTGACTCATAGCTTCATAACACTCTTTATAATGATCGTGATAGGCTTTGTGCTGCTTTAAGCATGCGTCTCCTGATAGTTTCACTTAGTTTTGAAATTAAGATTTTAATGATGGTAGGAAATAATGGCTGCTCCTACGAGCCTCTCAGAAGAAATGCCAACCAAACCCGGCAGTTCATTATGACGGCTTCTTTTCAACTAAAAACTATTCAACTTAACATCTAGTTTGAATATAATTATCTCCACAGTCAAGACTTAACAGCACCATTCAATCAAAAGATAGCTGTTGAAAGATCCTCGTATATCATTTCTCAGTTTTTATACAGCGTAAGAGGAATAATAGAGCCAGGTGCAAAACACTTCTTTTGGTCTAATTAAGGGTAAAGTCTTTTCATTTGCTTTTCAGTGGAGTTGTACCCTGACCGTTTGGGTTAACCGAGTCCACCTGCTCATAAAGCAGACAGCAACCAGCCTTTAAATGAGAGAGATCAGAAAAATGTCAAAATGAGGTTGTCAAAAAAAGAAAAACACTCAGTAACATTATGTTCATAAACATCTTATTTTAGTATTGTAGTCATCGTCTTATATTACCGCAAACTACATTTTTAAGAATTATGACATGCTTGTTGCCTTATAGCTTCCCCAAATACTTGATTGACTTGATTTCCTTCCCATGATCATGTTAATGACATCTAAAATGTTTTTTCCAGGTATTTTAATTACATTCATGCACAGAGATGCACACAAGTGGAAAACATAATCAAGCTGCAGCAAAACAAATGATTACATGGGTTGGGGTATCTCAAATGATTATGCAATTAAAGATCTGGGGAATTATAACCAGCCTGCGCACTAAACAAACATGCCTCTCACCTCGCAAACTGCAATTTTGCATTTCATCGCTGTGCTCTCATTTAAAGCTAATTTACTAAATTAGTCGGTAATGTCTCTTATTCATTGTGTTACTCTCAGCTCATATAGTGGATAACAGCAGTGTAGCGTCTGTGCACCTTTAGCAATCCTCATTTAATGTCAGATTCATTCTGCATGGCACACTCTCTGCGCTCATGAGGGAATACTTTTATGGAACAGTTGCGTGAGAGAGAGGATCTGAGAGTATGCACAATAGAACAAACGCATGAGCGTACCTTTTTATATATTTATCCAGAGATCAGGTCTGTAGTACAGTTTGCTTATTTCCAAATCTCTATAGACTTCCAATGCCAAATTTACACTGCAAGGGTGACACATAAGTGCTTCTGAAGCGGCATTTAAGGGTCTTTGCACAGACTGTTTAATGCTGCTCAGAGGTGGCATAAATGCATTTACAACACAGCAATTGCAACTATATACGTTGATACTAGGAGATGAGATGGGTCAGTGCAGGCATAATTTAGTGTGACTTTTATGCGCCATTGCATTTTTACACTGAATATTGAGCAGGCACAGAGCTGCCTTAACAAATGTGGCATAGAAGTGCTTCTTAAGTGTCATTTAAGCCATCTTTATATAGTCGAATTAAGGCTGCTCTGTGCCTGCTCAAAATTCTGTGTAAGGATGTAATGCCATATAAAGGTCAGACTAAATTAAGCCTGCTCTGATCCACCTCAGCCCCTAGTATCAAAGGATACAGTTGCATTTGTATCTGTGTAAATGCATTTATGCCACCTCTGAGCAGAATTAAACAGTTTAAAAGACTCTAAAAGAAGAGCTTCTGTGCCACTTTTGCAGGGTAAATTTGGCAGTAGATGTCTTCACACAAAGTATTTAATGCTGCTTAGTGGTGGCATAGATGCATTTACATAACAATTACAACTGTATACTAGAGGTTAAGGTGGGTCAGAACAGGAATAATTTAGTCTGGCTTTTTATGCAGCATTACATCTTTACACAGAGTTTTGAGCAGGCACATAGCAGCCTTAGTCTATACTGGGAATTTGTAAACCAATGGATTAATGCAAGGATCATCAATTGATTGTGAAGCCTGACACTTTGTTGTTGCTTACAGTACGAATGGTTCTGGGATCTAATCTGTAAAAATATAACTTTTTTATTTTAATAAACCAAAATTGCAGCTCTACAATAGGGTTTGTAAATTAGGAGTGAGGACCTCTGTATTTGCATTTAATTTGTGAATTCAGTAAAACAGACAATGAGCCATTGAAAAACTAGATAGCATGTGTCTGAGAGCTGCATTTTTTTCCATGACTGATTACAAATGCAACAACTTTCAGCAATGCAACACATGAACAAAAAGACAAGCCAAGGCAGTTTCATAAAGTGGTGTGGACAAAGAGAACAAACTCTCATTGACTTACCAAATTGGGGCATTTAGAAAAGTATGGCGAAAATGAAAGAATACTGTGAGGAACAGAAATATCAACTAGAAAACCTAGCATGAATGAAATGAAACCAAGCAGACAATGTTAGACAGTAAATTTCCTGTGCCATATTGAGGCAAATCTATTTATTCCTTTCCTAATCACCTGACACCTGTCAACCAATCATTTTATGAGCGCTGTCACCTCATGCCACATTATGTCAAGAAATACCAGCAATGGGGGAAAAAAAACTGCATGACTATCAAATGCAATTTCTCATTAAGTGACTGCATAGATAATATACAAAGGCAACATTTTATTCTTGATATTTTTCTCACACCCTTATATTTCCATTTTTGTCTTTATTTACATACTTTTTTTTTTTGAGAAACAGATTTTACAGAGCTTCTGTTTTTCATACAAGAAAAGTGGAGATTATTTACACTGTCAGATGCTATAAAGAACAAAAAGTGCCATAAAAGTATCATACAAAATTGATAACAATAAGAAAATGTTTCCTGAGCACCAAATCAGCATATTAGCAACACTGAAGACTAATGGATGCTGAAAATTCAGCCTTGCCATCACAATAATAAATCAGATTTTAAAATATACAGTATTCTAACAGAACAGGGTTATTTTAAATTGTAATAATATTACGGTTTTACTGTGTTTTTGATCAAATACTTTTAAACTTTCTTTCAAAAAGTTTGGATGTTTAAACAAAATATT